TTCTCGATAGCAACAAGGAAAACAGGAAACAATACACCATTTTTTTTCTTTGATTTCTTTTATTTCATTCTTTTTCGTTTGTTTTTTTGGGGTTTTTTTTATTCCCAACAACTGTAACACGATCATCATAAATAATTCCTATGCCGAAGGTAGTTTTTGGCATATGTGGCAAGATATTGTTCAGCTTGTGTACACAGGTATTACATTAGCCCACATCTATAATTCATTGTCTGCCGGCGTGTTTATGTGTGCAGCTTGTGAAACAACTGAATTGCTAGGCAAAGTGCCATAAGCGAATTCAGTGCATTGTTTAAGGGCAAAATGGTAAAATGAAATTCTTTCGAGATCCGATCAAAATACCAATTAATATAAACGAACAAATGGACCAAAGCAAATTCTACTGTAAAGCCATCTAAGAGTAAAAGAGAATGCCAAATACTTAAGATTTTTAATTCTTTCTTTATACGTAATAAAGGCACAAGAGCTTCTCAAGGCAGAGAGCTAATAAATAATGTGGTGGTAATAGGGCTGGTTGATTTTGGAAGCATGGTATTGCACTCAATTTGAAAGTTGGGTATTGACACGATACATATTTCTTTTTTCAAAATCGTCAGTTTTTTTTTGAGGAAACGAGTTTTAAGATTAGGTTTAGGTTCAAAATCTCATGCTTTTGAAATTTCAGTGAAAGCCTTATAGCACAGCCTTATAAAATGTATAATTTACTGAAACTTTACAAATTATATCTGAACAAGATATTATTACTAAATCATTGCGCCATCAAATAAGATCTTTATTTACTTCAAAGGAAAATTATATTGAACCATTTAGCTATCATGAAGCAACACATTATGCAGCACAATATTTTTTATTGCGATTTTCAATAAACAATACAAATTTAAAACATTTTGTCTTATAATTTGTGCCCAAAAGAATTATGGTATGATATATAATTTTATCTATTTTTTTGGTTGTTTTTATCAATTCTGATAATCGAGTAGCCTTTTCTATAAACTTTTACAATACTTTTTACAGTTTTTATTTATCGAATCTGAAAAAAAAATGCTTGTGGTGGTTTTATAATTAAAAATCTACTTTGAATATGTTTTCCATTCAACGTATCTAATACAAAAGATATTAAGTTTATTTGGATTTATTCTTGAAATAGTCAAATTTTAAAATCAGTATGGAAGCAAAAACCTGTCGGAATTAGGTATAACTATGTATTTTCCAGACGATTTTAAAGTAAATACATAAAACTTGATAAAGGCTATGAATATAATATTTGATGTCAGTACATATCACACTAAACACCAGCTTTGCCAACGAATACAATGTTGATTTTTCTAAAAGAAAAAAACAAAAACAAAAAAAAAACAACCTGTCCTATTTTTTGTAAGGTCGTACATGGAGGAAACACGAGGTACTTATTATGAGGATATGGAGGATAGACAACGGTTGACCCTTGACTTGAAGAACTTAATAATGTAATGATTAGGAAATCAATCTCTGGGGAGTTTGTTCAACAATGCAACAGTTCTTATGAAGAATCTTACCAATAAAATTTTGGAGGAATTAGAACTGTTTCACATTTCGTGAGTTCGTGTTATGGTGGATGCTAGAGGTGAAATTTTGGACTGGTGGAACCAAAGAATGTAAATCAACCGAAGATCTGGAGTAAAAATAGGGATATAATAGGTAGAAGCTAGCAACGGTTCAATTTTGAATTCAGAGTTTTCATTCTTCTAGACCGGTTGCCATCTAAGGCTTTAGAACACAGTTTTTCTTACTATTTTCCCATAGCTGAGAAGAGTTGGAACGTGAATGATCCTTTTCGTTGGCTGCATGGTATGTGCTTCGCCAGTGCTACATACTGTTTGGAATTCAGAGATTTCCTTCTCCTAGAGCAGTTGCCATCCAAGGCTATAGAACCCAGTCTATTTTACTATTTTCCCATAGCTGAGAAGAGTTGGAACGTGAACGAGCCTTTTCTTTGGCTGCATGGTATGTGCTTCGCCAGTGCTACATACAGTTTGGAATTCAGAGATTTCATTCTCCTAGACCGGTTGCCATCCAAGGCTATAGAACTCAGTCTATTTTACTATTTTCCCATACCTAGGAAGAGTTGAAATGTGAACGTTCCTTTCCTTAGCTCCATATTAAATTTTTCGCCAGGGGTATATATAGTTTTGAATTCATAGTTTTCCTTCTATCGGTTGCCATCCAAGGCTATAGAACCCAATCTGTCCTACTATTTACCTATAGATGGGGATAAATGTTGGATTCATACCTTTTCCAAGTGCATTAACACGTAAGCGAATGTAATATATTCGACTGGAATTCGTTATAGGTTCTCCAGTTCCTCAATACGGGACGCATTCCATTGCTCCACATTGTCTTCGTTAAAACTTAAAATTCGACATTTAATAACCCAATTGATATGGCATTAAAGTTGATATGGCATAAAAATAAACGAGCTCTCTCTCTCTCTCTCTCTCTCTCTCTCACACACACACACACATATATATATATATATATATATATATATATATATCATCATCATCACTTCAAATCTGCATCTCCCTGGGCAGAGGAAAACGGTTGTTAGATCCGATGTTCATATACCCACTCATCCACGATTAATTTTTCCCATCAAGCAATGCGAAATATTGTCTTTAAGCGAAATCTCTGTCGTCATTGATTCTCGAATTTTGATATCGTAACCAAGCGTAAACAAAACAATTTTTAAATATGGAATATATTTCACTATTTATTAAGAAAAAAAAAACATACTTCTTTATAGAAATTGCTTTTGTTTACGTTTCGTTTGGATATGAAATGGAACCGGTTTCGAATGCTGCTGAAGAGCGGATATTTTTCTGTAATATTTTTCTCCGATACTTAGGCCGATAGACGAAAAATAAATAAATATACTGTTTAATAAACTAGAGCGTCTAGTCAAATATGAGTAACCACTTATAATAACACCTAAAGTGATAAAATCTGTCGATATTATAGAATAAAAAAGAAATTACATTTAAGAAATTGATATATATATATATATATATATATATATATATATATATATATATATCCAGAAAGCCTACCTAGGTTTCACCTAAACGGATCTTCAGGTTAAGAGTTTAGCCCTCTACGTTTTAGTCTTACGACTTGCTTGTTTTTTTTTTCTTTGGACTTAAGGCTTAAGGCACTGGACGATTTGTTTCGCCTTGTTCGAATGTTTTTAGTTCTATCTATTATTATTTCGATTTTTCCTCAGGGTACCTATTTGTTTTGACATATTTACAAGTTGTGCTATCGAGGTTTTTTCAAACGAGAACTATATATATATATATATATATATATATATATATATATATATATATATATATATATATATATATATATATATATATTTTTTATATATATATTAGGTTAGTGCAAAAATAATGACATAATAATGTCGTTTTTTTGCACTACCTAATATATATATATATATATATATATATATATATAAAAAATGAACGAAAAGAATATAAATTCAAACGTGCATAACATTGGTTTAAAAAAGGGATCAATACAATAATAATTTATTACAAATTGTTACATTGGAATATGCAAAGTTTTTTTTTGTCGCGTTAAATTGCACGCTCCAACGTAAGTTTAGTTTATAATATATATATATATATATATATATATATACGCCGCTTTGAGATCGTGATCCAAAACGAAATCGAAGAACAGCAGGTGAAATATTTGATTTATGATGAATATATATGGCCTGACGATTGCGCCTAACATGGAAACTGCCTGTCGCCTCTAAGTGTTGACTTCAATGTCCACTTTTATATTTACAAACTCTCTATCTCTGATATTGAGCACTTTATTCCATAAATCTAGCACACCTTAAGAGCACAATTCTTCATATATATATATATATATATATATATATATATATATATATATATATTATATAAATATTATTTTTATGTTTAACGTTGTTATTTTATAGATACAAATATTTAAGCAAATGCTCTGTTTATGATAAACAGTATTAAATAACATTTACCGGCCTGAATGTCAAGAAATTTTCATTTAAAATATTCGTTCTTTGACAGGAAAATTTTTCTATAAAATTTCTCGGACTATTCAGGCGTTAAACATAAAATGTCTTTAATAAATAAATTGTCGGACCTTGTCCATTTCTTAACATATATATATATATATATATATATATATATATATATATATATATATATATGCAGGTAAGATGAGAACGAAGAGAGTACAATTCGAACCTTCGCGCCATTTAATTTAAAAGAAGACAATACAAAATAAAGAAATATAATTTATTTTAGGATATTGCACCGAAACATGTCAAAATCACTACACAATTGCAGTCGTCTTTCGATGTAATATATGTGCATCTGTGTGCGTGTGTGTTGCCATTTTTACAGCGTCGTGATCACATTCTTTCTTGACTAATTGGGCACGTAAATATGGAATATGTTGACCGAAACAAAAGCTGTGGAAAGATTGGATTTCAGACATTGTGCAGTATATTGATAATACACAACGTCTGAAAATGGAAAACGCTTTCCTTGTCTTCGACGCCGCTTTGAAGATCGTGATCCAAACGAAATCGAAGAACAGCGGGTGAAATATTTGATTTATGATGAAAAGAAGAACCCAGCCTTAATAAGAAAGCTTTCACTGCCACAATTATTGCACTTTACGCGAAACTGGGCATACCTGACACAATGGATTCATATATACACACGCGCGCGATCGTGTGCGCGTGTGCGTGTGTGTGTGCATGTGCGCATGCGTGTATGAGTCGGCCATAAATATTTTTTCATTGATTCGCACATACATGCGCACCAATCAGTTGGTACCTATTCGAAAAATAGCATATAAAAAAAACTAATGCCGTCTATATACCAACGTACCAACTTTCACTCTATTTCTCTCTCACAAACACGCAAATGCTCTGTCCGTCTCAATCAATAGATAGATAGATAGATAGATAGATAGATAGATAGATAGATAGATAGATAGATAGATAGATAATGAAATGTTGAATATAAGATCGATAGGTATGAACAGACTGAGACAGATAGATAGATAGATAGATAGATAGATAGATAGATAGATAAGGAAATGTTGAATATAAGATCGATAGGTATGAACAGACTGCGATAGATAGATAGATAGATAGATAGATAGATAAGGAAATGTTGAATATAAGATCGATAGGTATGAACAGACTGCGATAGATAGATAGATAGATAGATAGATAGATAGATAGATAGATAGATAGATAAGGAAATGTTGAATATAAGATCGATAGGTATGAACAGACTGCGATAGATAGATGATAGATGGATGATAGATGATAGAAAAGATAAAGAAGATAGATGATGGAAAATGTTGAATATAAGATTGATAGGTATGAACAGACTGCGATAAATAGATAGATGATAGATAGATAGATGGATAGATATGATAGATAGATAATGATAATAATGAAATGTTGAATATAAGATCGATAGATATGAACAGACTGAGATAGATAACATGAATGAAAAATATATATAAAAGATAGATATATGAAAGGTTGAATAAAGATGGATAGATAGATAGATAGATAGATAGATAGATAGATAGATGAATAGATAATATAGATGAGATAGATGAAATGATGAACAGACTGAATAAAGGATAATGATAAATAGATAGATGGATATAGATAGATGAATGACAGATAGATAGATAGATAGATGAGATAGATAGATAATGAAAGGTTGAATATGAAATATATATATATATATATATATATATATAGATAGATAGATAGATAGATATAGATAGATAGATAGATGATATATGAACAGCCCGAGAGAAAAAATATATATATAAAAAGACCGAGATATATATGAAAAAGGTTGAATATGAGATAGATAGATAGATAGATAGATAGATAGATAGATAGATAGATAGATAATGAAATGTTGAATAAAGATAGTATGAACAGACTGAGATAGATATAGATGGAATAGATAGATAATGATAGATAGAATAAATGATAGATGATATAAATAGATATGAATAGGAAAGAATGAACAATGACTGAGATAGATAAATAGATAGATAGATAGATAGATAGATAGATAGATAGATAGATAGATATAGATAGATAATGAAAGGTTGAATATGAAACGGATATATATATATATATATATATATATATATATATATATATAGATAGATAGATAGATAGATAGATAGATGAAGATAGATATATATGAACAGCCCGAGAGAAAAAAATATATATATAAAAGACCGAGATATATGTAAGAAAAGGTTGAATATGAGATAGATAGATGATATAGATAGATAGATAGATAGATGATAATGAAATAGTTGAATAAAGAATAGATAGATAGATAATGATAAATAGATAGATATATATATATATATATATATAGATATATAGATAGATAGATAGATAGATAAGAATGAACAGACTGAGATAGATAGATGAATATATAGATAGATAGATATATAGAGATAGATAGATATGATGAATAATGATAATGAAAGATTGAATATAAACAGAAACGGATATATATATATATATATATATATATATATATATATATATATATGATAGATAGATAGATAGATAGATAGATAGATAGATAGATATATGAACAGATATCGATGAATGAAAAATATATATATAAAAAGATACCGAGATATATATGAAATGTTGAATATGAGATAGATAGATAGATAGATAGATAGATAGATAGATAGATAGATAGATAGATAGATAATGAAATGTTGAATAAAGAAGATAGATAGATAGATAAATAGATAGATAGATAGATAGATAGATAGATAGATAGATAGATAGATAGATAGATAGATAGATAGGAATGAGAATGAACAGACTGAGATAGATAGATAGATAGATGAATAGATAGATAGATGAATAGATAATAATGAAAGGTTGAATATGAAACGGATATATATATATATATATATATATATATAGATAGATAGATAGATAGATAGATAGATAGATAGATAGATAGATGAATAGATATATGAACAGCCGAGAGAAAAAATATATATATAAAAGACCGAGATATATATGAAAAGGTTGAATATGATATAGATAGATAGATAGATAGATAGATAGATAGATGAATAGATAGATAGATAGATGAATAATGAAAGGTTGAATAAATAGATAGATAGATAGATAGATAAATAGATAGATAATGATAGATAGATAAATAGATAGGAAAGAATGAACAGACTGAGATAGATATATAGATAGATAGATAGAGATAGATAGATAGATAGATAGATAGATAGATAGATAGAAAGATAGATAGATAGATAGATAGATAATGAAAGGTTGAATATGAAACGGATATATATATATATATATATATATATATATATATATATATATAGATAGATAGATAGATAGATAGATAGATAGATAGATAGATATGAACAGCCCGAGAGAAAAAAATATATATATAAAAAGACCGAGATATATATGAAAAGGTTGAATATGAGATAGATAGATAGATAGATAGATAGATAGATAGATAGATAAGGAAATGTTGAATATAAGATCGATAGGTATGAACAGACTGAGATAGATAGATAGATAGATAGATAGATAGATAGATAGATAGATAGATAGATAATGAAAGGTTGAATAAAGAAAGATAGATAGATAGATAAATAGATAGATAGATAGATAGATAGATAGATAGATAGATAGATAGATAGATAATGAAATGTTGAATATAAGATCGATAGGTATGAACAGACTGAGATAGATAGATAGATGGATAGATAGATAGATAATGAAAGGTTGAATAAAGAAAGATAGATAGATAGATAAATAGATAGATAGATAGATAGATAGATAGATAGATAGATAGATAGATAGATAAATAGATATGAATATAATGATAGAAAAAAAATATATATATAAAAAAGACCGAGATATATATGAAAAAGGTTGAATATGAGATAGATAGATAGATATAGATAGCTAGATAGATAGATAGATAGAATGAATAGATAGATAATGAAAGGTAGAATTTTAGACAGATAGATATATGAACAGCCTGCGATATATATATATATATAGAGATAGATAGATAGATAAAGATAAATAGAAAAGACAGACACTGAGAATGACACATTGCGAAAAATAGATAAATACATCACACACACACACACACATACATACATGGATATATATATATATATATAAATATATATATATATATATATATATATATATATATATATATATATATATTACTGACCTGAATATTCGATAGAAATCACATTAGATACAAATTCGAACCTGCGTCCCGTTAGGGCAACACTCATTAGTCCTGAAGACCTGGTGTGTTTTAAGTAATAACAATCTGTCTGATTAATAAATATAAAAACCCATCCCTTTCTTACAAATTGCTTTGTTTACATTAGGATAGGAAACTGAGTAGATATGTTTATTTCAAGAGTCAAAGAAAAATCTCTGTTTAAAGTGACTACTCGGATCTGCTTCGTCTTCGACGCACTCAAAGTACATCATATCTAATGACGGTCTTCCCTCGAGGTCTGTATCCTTCCGAAGAGCGCACCCTTTTCTATCAGATTTCTCGAATATTCTGACCGGTAGGCGAAAATAAATAATATACCGGTTAATAAATAAATGGGGCGTCTGCTGAAATACGATTATCCACTAAAAATAAGGTTTAAGTACTAAAAAATCTATCGGATTAATAAAAAAAGTAAAAAATCCATCCATTTATATATACGAGGTGTAACAGCAAAATTGTCCAAATCGTGTAAACAAAATAATTGAAGATTTGAACCGTTGTATCTTAGAAATGATTAAAGATATCTTCCGGGATTTCTCCGAGGTTTTTTAGAATACTATTGGACTATACTTTGAGCAATAAGAACGTATACTTACTCTCCAAGGTTAACAGAAGAGTCTTGACGAAATGGATCATGAAAGAAAAATGATGAAATCGATCATAATCGAAAATTTCATCATTAATTAATCATATAACCGGAAGCCCACGAAAATATTGAAGGTTCAAATATATATATATATATATATATATATATATATATATATATATACATGCACAAATGTACACACAAAAATATATATATATATATATATATATATATATATATATATATATATATATATATATATATATGTATATATATATATATATAATTTCTCGATTTAATCGGTAGAAGACAATTTTGCTTTGATAAAGTCCACATTGGACGGAACGCGTCAGCAATTACACCTATTGTCATTTTATTCATAAATATATATATATATATATATATGTATATATATATATATATATATATATATAAATATATATGCACAAATGTACACACACAAATATATATATATATATATACACGCACAAATGTACACACACAAATATATATATATATATATATATATAAATATATATATATATATATGTGTGTGTGTGTGTGTGTGTGTGTGTGTGTGTGTGTGTGTGTGTGTGTATTATTACATGATAATTCAAGATGATTTTCGCCCTCTCTAACCTTCTAAGTTTCTGTTCGCCTTTTCTAACCTTCCGTCCTGGAGCAACAACTTGCCTCAAAAGGTACGATTTCATTTCAAGTCTTTTTTTCACTGCTCTTTTGCACTATTATATCTTAAACTCAACTCGCACCTGCCAAATGTCTCATGAACTGAGTTGGATCTTTTCTAATTCATCTCTTTATCTGTAAGTTGAAATGATGATCCCTCTTGCTGTTGGGACCTCCTTGCTCAGTTTTCCTTTCTACTGCTCCCTCTTTTGAGGTGAAATTATTTAAATACATACATACATACATACATATATATATATATATATATATATATATATATATATATATATATATATATATATATGATAACCCAAAGTCTTTATCTGTTATCTTTATATTCGCCCTTGAAATATACTAATATATTCATCTGCTTGATTTTGATCTCTCCAATTTGGAGCTCACAACTTGGGTTGCCTATTTTTGTTGACTACCATGAAATCTGTTTTCATACAGTTATTGCTATTCATTTAGATGTATTGAATGAATCCTTATCGATCCGAATTGTATTTATCTCTGAATATCCGGGGATGGGGTTAATCGTTATCACCCCGTCCAAGGAAGTAAAGCCAGGAAGATACGAGGTGGGGTTACAGGATGTGGAAGAGTTAGAAAACAGAAAATTGAATAATGAGCAGGAAGATAAAAGAATATCCAGGAGGACAGTAGATAGCAATTGACATTACATTTAAATATTTGAAGATTCAAGTTTGTTGGAAAGCATGGAGCCAGAAGGGAGTTCCACAATCGAGAAGTGCGAGAAAAGAAACTGTTAGCATAGAACTTACGGCTAAATCTTGTCAGCTCAACCCCAAATTGATCAGATGTTGATGTCAGTCTCGTCCTGTGCTTCAATCCAAAAAGTCCAGGAATCATAGTAAAGAGCTCATTTGAACAATTACCATTAAAGTATTTATAGAAAAGACACAGGGAGGTAACTTTACAATGGTTGGAAAGTGACTGAAACCGAACCGCCAGATCACGACCAATAATATAATTGATTCTTTTTTTGGATCTTATCAAGGAGCTCAAGGTAAATAGCAGAGGCATCGGATCATATGTGGCAGCAATATTCTAAGCATGGATGAATAGCAGACATAGTTATGCAAGATAGATTCTGGATCAAAAAATTATCAAGCACGACAGAGTGAAAAAAAAACTTTCTTAGCAGATGACTTAGCAATGGATTCAATCTAGTCTTTCCCCTCCATGAAGATGAGCCAGAGAAGGCGCAACACGTCGCTTTCCTGGAGGTTAGCATCAGCCATACTTATGGAACGCAAAAACAGTTTTTCTCAGATGCTTAATGGCGTGAAGTTTAATTTTGAAATCGATTGGCAAGTCATATTTTGTTGTTGTTAACTATAGACTTGAGGTCGTTTTGGACATCTGCACTCATTTGTTTTATTGTGTTTCTCAATTTACGACCTTCCGTAGTTTATGGAGTATTGGAATGCAAGTTATGTGTTTGTTGAGGGTTTATTTTTTGACACACATCGAGAATTTGTATTTGTCATTCCAAACTACTCCATTTTTTTTTGTAGTCTTCATTCCTGCGCGTCATCTCAAATTTTATTTTCTTTCTTTCCATTCTTCATTCTCTCTACCTGCATTTCCTTTTCTATATTTTTTCTTTCGCCCATTCTGCCTGTCTTCCTATCCTCAAAAATACATTCCTCATTCACGTTGATGTCTTGTGTTCCGTCATTCTTTCTGGTCTATATTCTTTATTAAAAAAAAAAAGAAATTTACATATTTACTTTTTCTGAGTAGTACTGACATTTTTTTTTGTATCCCGTTCAATTTTTTACTTCAGGAAAAATTTTTGACTCTTCTTGTTTTATTTTAAAGAATATCCTGTAAGTACGCTTTTTTTTGTTTTGGTTCAGTTCTTCTTTGTAAAAAGAAAACCAGGAAACCCTAAAATCTAAGGCTTAACTTCGGAAGAACTGTTTATATTTTTAAAGTCGTCATTTTGTCTGTTTCCAGGAAGCAGAAATATGCTCAAACACATACTCTAAACTGTGACGTATTTATACACGCATGCGCACTCAGTGCACATATATATATGTCGGTTAGTAAGAGAATATGATTCATGATTAAATTTTCCAATCGAGACGAAAATAAAATCTATTGCGTAATATGGACGAACAATGAAATATTCCTGATAAAAAGGAATATGGAAAAAAAAGACGTGTTAAAATTTAATAATATCTGAGATAAAGAATTAGGAAGTTTTCAATGGCGGTACCAACAAATAAAAAAAGTTGGGCTCTATTCATTATAAAATGAAAAACTAAAGACCTGGGGTTAAAAATAGATTCGTCGACGTCCCAGCGACAAATGGATGTGTTCTTAAATAGGTAACTGTACTTTATTTTATTAAGACAGTCTCCTGAAGCCAATCTGGTTACAGCACGCTTCGGCTATAGTGGTGATTACTCTGATATAAAACGATGATACAGGCTCGAATCCTGTCTAGAGGCCCATTTTTCTTTAGTAAGATCTAGGCTGATTGTCATTAATTTTACTGTTTAATAAAATAAAAAAATATAGCAACTGAAAGACCTGCACCCACTAAAATAGCATTTATAGTAATCATATATATATATATATATATATATATATATATCATCTTCAAAAGCGAGAGCAAAATCTAAAAGGTCAACCAATCTAACAGTGATGTCATCTCACAATCCTCACACTTGTTCCATATGTGGCCTCCTTTATAAATCACTAGTGGGTCTTAAATAACACTTAAGATTATCGCACAAACTTTCATAACTAAATCAAATACCGTCATAAAGCCTGACATGTTATAACATTTAGCTACAGAGGAAGCGTCTATATGACCGTTCTGCGGAGGAGGACAGGAATCGAAACATATTCTCTATGTAATTTCTCTGCCATTCAGGCCTGTAAATGTTGTTAATACTATCAATTGTAAACAGAGCATTTACTTAAATATTTGTATATGAAAAAAATAGCGTATAAACAGTTTAAAATGGGATGTATTTCGTCCGCACCCTGTGAGTCTAACTTTCTTAGTATTATGTGGGAGGCATTTTTGGAAATGATTTGTAGGAGATTTTTCTTCCATATATATATATATATATATATATATATATATATATATATATATTAGAATATTAGATCAACATGTTAATAAACGCTATAAAAATGCAATTACGTTTCAATATGTACTAACAAATCTCATCGAGCGTTGGTAAAAAGAGTACAAAATCACTCTGTGGTTTCTCGGAGCTTATTAATGTGTCTTGATTATGCTTGCATATCGCCATCGAATACCTTTTGAAAAAGCTTTCGTTGAAAGGGTCCTAAAAGGTATAAAACAAAATAAGACGTTTCTTTCGTTTAAATCTATGTTTTATTTCTGTGTCCGACAATTTATTTATTAAAGACATTTTTTTTTTATGTTTAACGTTCTTTTTATAGATACAAGTATTTAAGTAAATGCTCTGTTTATAATAAATAATACGCCAGAGCAGTTATGAATGTACGAGATTCA